ATGTATAGGTTTTAAACTAACTAACTTGCGCTCACATATTAACATAATAGGAATACGGTGACATAAACAAAGCAAATCTATAATTACCATCCATCTCCAGTGAAGCCAAGAAAACCATTTAGGCACCCTAGGCATTTGTGAAAATTTGTCTATGCTTTGATGGATATTGTCCAACTGTACTTGAACAGTCTGAGAGAAATCAGACTCTTTTCATAACTTTTATGACATACTCCCTTTTATAATCAGGTTTTTTTTAGCCTAAAGAACAACACCTTTTGTTAGTGAGATTGGCAAAGCGGATGAAAAGGCAAAAATATTTAATTGCTGCCCATTCTGGTAAGAAAACCTTAGATGCTAATTGGTAATAAGGCATGCATTATCATTGTAAAACTTAGTAAAATATTAAATTTATTTATTTATTTATTTGGTCTACTTGCAAAGTCTGAAGCACATACTCTCTGGCTGTATTCAGAAAAAGCGTATGACTCCTGCGTAGAAAAAAACATGTTTTTAAACTAATGCAATATGTCTTGATTACTGTTGTTAGCTTTACAATCAACCACGATTTTTGGTAGAGTAAGCCTTCCAATTTTGTTCTTCAAGTTTGTCTTGGTTGTTCTTGGGCCTCTATATTTCCATATAAATTCTCTTCAGATATATGTTGATGGTAAAAATGTTTTTATACATACAAATTACATAGGAAGTTTTTTAACTTTTATTTTACAAAATACTTAATATATATCATTATGATATATATGATATTAATATGATATTAATTAATTAATTAATATGATATAAATTAATTAATATGATATTAATATGATATTAAATGTGCTCCTAAAACATAATCTTGAATGGTTTTGTAGTATTCAATTATACAGATGAACTATCATTTATTTAATTACATTCATTGTTTGGCTATTACAACAATACAGTCTTTCTTTTCCTCTTTTATAAAATACAATTTTATTTAAACTATAAAACAAAAACATTTCACCCATTTTGCCCCCCTCTCCCCTCTCCCAGCCCCCTGAACCTCTGGCAACCACCAGTCCAAATTTAACTGGAATTCATGGGAAATCTGGTAGCTCAACCCACTGTTTTATTGTATCTGTTATTCAACATGCAATTCAGGTACCACCTTGTCTGAGGAGGCTTCTCAAACTCCAACAGTTTGGAGTATATACTTTTTTCCATGTATTTCTATAGGACCCTGTCTCTATCTTTGCACTCATCACACTTAGAAAAATCTGTTCGAGAGTCTGCTGAGTATGGCTGTCAGCTCCCAGAGGACGGGATGGCATCTTACCTGTCTTTGCATTCTCAGCCTATACCCCAGGGCCTGGCATCTAGCACGCGATCAATAAAAAATTGTCAAATGAATAAATGGACACCAAAGTTATCAAGGAAAACTATTTTTGCACACGTCTTTTTCTTTACCTATAAGGCTTAATTATACAACAAAACAACGTTAAATTGAATAACTTTCCCCATAAATTGGAAATGCCAAACCACTTACAGCATCCCTATAGTTTTGTCTGAATTTAGCATACTTTTAACTTTAATTTGAGGCAATTTTTAATGGATTAATTTAAGACACTATATATAATCTTTTAAAATGTTACACTTTACTTCACAAATAATCAGTGGCATATAGAGGCCAGGCAGGGAGAGTGATCATGGGTGTAGGAAAAAAGAGGATACATTGTCAATAGACAATTGAGAACAGCAATAAGGTCAGCTAGGGGTCACTGGGCTTTTATCACCCTACCCAGAGAATGCTAAATGAGTCAGGATGACCTCTTCCTCCTCTCAAGGGCAGACTCCTACTTCCTTCCAGTCCCTTGGTATGTCACTGCATGTAATGATATTGGCAAACATAGTTTTATAAGAGTTTCCTTCCTGAATGCCTCTTGATTTCCTAACTTGCATTTCCAGGCAAAAGCAACCTGCTTTTAGATGAAGCATTTAATCCAATATAAAATGGTAGGGAGAAAAATTGTCATTCTATGTACAACCATGTAGAAATTATTGAATGTGTTTACCAAATAGCCAAAAGGAGAGCGAAACGCTCAGTTTACACCCTTAAATTGGGCAGAGCCCAGGTTAATTTGAATAAATACAGAGAGACATAACATAATGAACGAGAATTGAGGGCGATAAAGAGGTAGACCACCAGTTTGGTATGTTCATAGCAAGTCTCTCTGAGGACTTGGGATTTTTTTCTTTTTAATTTCAATTTTGGCCACTGATTTGTTAGTCTTTATAAAACAAAGAGAGTCATGGCTCCTGTAGATGACTTGGGCATCATGCTCTGCTGGTTATCAGGTGTCTGCCATTCATACTTGTGTCACCCCAGCCCATGTACACCATGTTGAGGTGTCATGTCAGGGCAATGTGTGTATATATGTGGTGGGGTGGACACTGTGGGCCCCAGAGGAGAGGGGAAGCCACTCCTCACCTGCACTGCCATTGCGTTGTGATCCTCTGCTTGGCTTTCATTGTCATTTTATGAATGTTCTCTGATTGCTCATGTACTGAAACTATTTTCATGTTATATGTACTCAGTGATTCTTTTCCTTCTAGTGTATTTGTATTTGCTATCTTTCACCTGTTTTTCTTCATGTTAACGTGGTCATACTCTTTCAACTGTACAAATTAAACAAAAATTGTTGCCGCTGTTGTTCAGTTGTCACAACAAATTCCTTTATATTTAATCACAGAATAAAATAAACTACAGCATTGTCTTGAACTTATAAACAAAAACTTAAAAAGCCTATGTCCCCATCATTAAATAAATAGTTGATACTCATAATCATGATAGTATACATTATTCATCATTTTTCTGTGTACTGGGAACCATCTAATTAATTCCCACTTAATTTCTCATTTATTTTATCAATAGTCCATGAAAAAGAGACTGCTACTATTATCCAATTTTACAGATGAGGCACTTGAGACAAAAAGAGGTTGAATAACTTGCCAAGTATTAGGTGCTTTGTCACTGCACACAAGAATTATTTGTGTATTCATTAAGTCATTAACATTTAGAAAGATATTGAACTTCAACTTCCTTTAATGTATTGGATTAACTTCTTTCCTCCTGGTGGAAGCAGCCAGGTACTTGCAAGGTCACATCACCACATTCTCCATGTAACATATGTAGATTCCTGATGTGCTTCCAGAAAGGATCTCTGGAAAGAGTGAACTGGAAAGGGATCCTATAGAGATGATTTACTTAGAGAATATTTGTCATTTAAACTGATGAGCCTTATGATGAATATGAATTTCTGTCCACAGTAAGCTCTCTGCCAGTTTTCAGTCTTTGAGTCACTTCACCTTGACCTTGCTTGGTTTCATAGTTCTGGGCACTCAGGTTGCTGATTAGCTATCGGATGGATTTGCAAATATGGGCTAGTGATTTTTCTATGGCAAAACTGAGACCTCTCCATACTTCAAGGCTTCAGGTGAAAATAAAAAGATCTATATAATGAAATCTCACTTGAGTTTCCTCTCACTTTCATCTTTAGTGGGATTCTTTTTAAGATAGGATAGTTAACAATTCTAAAGAGGGAAATAAACTTTAAACAGCCCCAAATATTACTAATGAGCACAGTTTTTATGTTCAATTTGCACATTTCTGTTGCAAGACTGAAGATGAGGACCGTTTTGCATATATATGTATTTATATTCATATGTATTGTGAAGCAATGAATAGAGGACAAAGTTCAATGATGGTGAAATCAAGTTCGCCATAAGAGAAGGAAAGGTTCATTCAGCACCTGGAACCCAGGAATTCGGACTTCTCCATCAAATACGCTTTAGAGACTTACGTGGATCTCATTTCTTCCCTGCTTTCCTATGCCACCAGCCTCAATGGAGTAAGTCCCCAAGACTGCTATTCTTTCTCCTTAATGCCCCCAATACCAGGTTTGTCCATTTCTGACTCATTATTATGCCAGTCTGAACCCTCCTCATTGCTCACTCCAGGTACTGCAGAAATTTCCAGTCTCATTCTACTCTGAGTGCCTGCAGTCACTTTCCACAGAAACACACCTTGCAATACCATCAGATTAATCTTACTGAAAACTGCTTTGATTGTGAACACCCACTCAACACCTTTTAGTGGCTCCCATGACATTCCAAACACAGGCTAACCTAGTCCCAACCCACTTTTCCTACCATATATCTTCCACTGATTTCCTAGATTGGATTGTCCTAGTTCCTCAGAAAACACCCTCTCATCTCTGCCTTTGGGCTCACACATCCTCTCTTGCCAGAATTACATTTTCCTTTTTATAGCTATCTGAATTGTACCCCTTCTTTGGGGGCCTCCTCCTACAGGAAGCACTCATTGCCTAGTCCAGCATGGAGTGAATGCTCCTTTTAAAAACCTCTGCCAGTTAAAGTTATGCTTTTGCCTCTTCTCTCAGTTCAGTTTACATGCTTCTCTATGCCTCTTATGCTTTGAGGATCTCCTCCAGTGCCTAGCCTGGTGCCTTGCAGGGGAGGAGCTCCACAAACATCCATTTACTGATTCTTGAAGCAGCCATGAAAATTCCAAGTGGGCATCTCTTGTATGAACCTCCTATATTCCCAATGGAAGCCAGCATCCATGTATCTGTATATTTTACCTTTTTTCAGTAATCATAATGATTGTTTTTGTCCTCCCTCTATCTTTTGAACAGTTGATCGTCAAAGCAACTACTACATACTTGCAGGATTTAGCATATTGTTAATGCTAATCAATGTCCTGGTGATATTTTTAAAAGTGTTCTGGATCGAGGTTATTCTGCTCTGGAGAGACATAGCTAGACCTTACAAGACTAGAAATGGTAAGTGGCAAGTTTCAAGTTTTGCTCCAGAGAAAAGGTCCCATAATGGCTGTTGGGTTACTTGTCTATTGATCTCTTAATAACTGTGCTACTAAACCCAGATTCCCTTTTGCTTGATAACATGTCACCAGAAGAATCTTTTCTAGTCCACTGAAAGGCCACTCTCTGTCCCTGTTGCTCCTCATGGTTCTGAGATTCATCTCAACAGCTCAAATTTCCTCCCCAATAGGGCTGCTGCTTCTACTAAATCCCCAATTACAAAATCTGCCTTAAGCACACAAGGGTTTAAACATATGGGAAATGTATACTGGCAAACTTTATGGAATTTAAAATATTAACAAAATGGTTCCTGTTTTCCATATGTGAATAGGTTGGAAAGGTGCCTCAGAATGCAGGTATATTTTTCCAGAAACCATGGCCATCAAGAGTCTTACCTATCTATGCACATAAGTATACACATGAAAGGAGAAAGTCCTGCCTGCTAAGTGTGAGCACCATTCTTTCATTTAGAGGTAGACATACCTTAGATCTTCCATATAATCTACTCAACTAGTTGTTTGATTTGTGAGAAACTAAGATCCCTTTAAACATTTTCTACTCACTTGCCACTACTAGCCTTTAGCATTTTCACTTCCTCCAGGAAGGCATGGGGAAAACAAGATAAGTTTGAGACCTACCCAATGCAGCACAGGGCCCTTATTCATGACTATAAATACTTATTAATAGGTAACTGATCAAACTTGATAATATGGTTTGAACTAATCTGGGCAGGCTTTGCTTGTTCTCTGTCATTTAATCTGAGACAGTTAAAAGGAGAACTTTGGTATTAATATAGATTTCCTGGTGACATTTTGTGGCAGTAGATTGTCATCATTTTTAGGTTCTAGAATATTTTTGAGGATGGGTTAAATTCACCAACAACCATAAAACTCTGAAGAATGTCACTAAGAGTCAAATGAGACTTATTAAGAAGAAAGTAATAAAGCTGTATTTCTTGTTTTCACTTTCAGATGGAAAGATTTATGATGCTTATGTTATCTATCCAAGGAACTACAAAAATAGTCCAGAGGTGGCCAGTTCTGTGGAATCCTTTGTTCACCAGATTCTGCCTGATGTTCTTGAAAATAAGTGTGGCTATAACTTGTGCATTTATGGGAGAGATCTGCTACCTGGAGAAGGTAAAACTCTCAACACGTATCAGGGAGGGAAATTCATATTCATCAGAAGGCTAAGAGATAGGTGGTCTTACCCCTGAACTGGATAAGGAATTTCAGTCATTTAAGACCAGAGCTCTGAAATATATCCTCAGGAGACCCTTTGTTCCCCCTGCCGCCATTGCCACCCTGATCACGAGGTGTCAGTGTCAGTGACTTGAAGGTACGTAAGGCATCCTTGATATGTGGACTTAGCAGCACATCCCCCTGACTTTACTTCCCATGTCCACACTGGGATAACTCTGAAATTTCTTAATTCTCTCTGGAAGATCTGAAAACAAGAGAATTTTGTTCTAATATCCAGAGGTATTGGCTAAAATATTTGAAAGAAGTCAGAGAGTCTTCATGATTTTCCTTGTATTGGTGAAACATTTGCCAATTTATATTCTCACAAGAACAAGTAGAGATGTGCCTTCTGTTTCTTAATTTTCCTAATTGACTCTGTGTGCTTTGACACTGTGTTACAATCCCAGCACTTCCCTCCATATTTATGTCAAGTACCTGTGAACCCTCCTTGCAACCCTTCCCGAATTCCTCAGAAACATCCACTGAGAAAAAACAGTTTAGGGAGCAGAGATCCTGTCAGCAATTGGATAATGTGCCCTGTCTGCACAGGAAAACAAGGGTTTTTTTATGAGAAAAAGGAAGAGGGACAATTACATGACTTGAATGGAAGAGGGGAAAGAGAAAAGGAACCTTTGTCTGGCACTACCAGGCTGAGCTGTTTTATTTATACTTTATTTGACTCATCTATTGGTGTTATCAATGCAACTATCCCTGATATGCATTACTCTACCTTCACAAAGTCCACACTGTTTTTATGATCCAGACGTCAGTTGGCTTAATGAGCAAATGCTTGTAAAGCAGTTGCTATTTCTAGTCCAGTTTAAAAGGTCCTTTTGCCCATTTCAAAAGCTCATTAGTTAGAAAGGAAAATGGAGCTTCAAGATGGAGTCTTTCGTGTCCAGAAATTTTGTACGATTCTACAAAAACAAACTGGGATATTAAAGAGACAGGGGCATTAAGAGAACAAGTCCAATAAAGTTAATATTAGTAGACTGTGAATTTAAACCAACGCGTCTACTAGAAATAGGGATTTGGTGCCTGTAGATGTAAAGGTACACACAACAGGGGAATTTGGTTTATTCTGGACTATTTGGGTCACATTGATCCCCTAGAGACATAAAGTGTATAATTAAGGAAAATGTAATCCAAGTTTTCTCCAAGGAACCTATTTTTCCTCCAGCTCCCCGTCTGGCTACCCCTGCAGGTAGGGAATAATGAGTCATGGTGCTCAAATGCTTTTCCCGCAAGGAGCTGCAGGGACTCCAGCTGTCTATAATCTTGCTCCATGTGCTATGTCTGGCGGTAGGCTCGTCATCTCTTCTTTCTCAGGTCTGTCAATCTCATTTCTAGCCACTCCTCTTCCAGGTGAATGTGAACACCAGCTCACGGATGCAAGAGCCTGGTTGCCTTTATAATGCTGTTTTTCCTTTGGAAAAAATTCCCACTTCCCCTCCCTCCAATATGTCCTCTGACCTTACCTCAACTAAGTAAAATAAAACTAACAAAACAACCCCAGTCTTTACTTTTCCCTTAGAAAAAGTCTGTGACTGACCCATGCAGTGCATTTCTTCCCATGCTTCTGTTTGCTCCTTCAAATTGACCGCAACGCCCTCCATCTGTCCAAATTGGCCCTGGGCGGCTGTTCATTATGGAATCCATCCTGCCCTTGCCCTCTGCTCCATGCTGGGTCTGGCCAACAGGAGGCATCTCCCCTGGGGCTGCCGGAGTAGCTGTGCTGCTCTCTCCTGGAGCATGGGCTCCTGCTAGTCCATCTTCCTCAAGTTTACCCTCCTTGGCCTCCATAACTGCTTTCTCCTGTCACACCTGGAGGATGGTACTGGCTCCGATAGTACCAGTTGTGAGGGTCTACACCACGTATCATCAATTCCCCTTGGCTCTGCCCACATCTTTTATAAACTGTCCTTTCATTGAACTCCTTTTAGTCAGTCCTTTTAAGTGTGCTGAGTTTTCTGTTAGGATTCTGGCTGACCAGGTCTCTATCTGGCACCATTTAACATGCATTTCCTTATTTCAGACTATGGGAACTGGCCGTCTATTAGCCACCATACTTTAAGAATATCTTGAGTTGTTTGGTTCATGGTTGTGCTTCCTGATGCATGCAGTTACCTCCTTGCAGTGAGAACTGGGTGTTTTACATTTCTTTCCAAGTTCACCAGAAGTTATCTGACATCAGCAGGGAGTTGATGCTCCATACACACTGACCTGATAAGGGGATCCAGTCTTCCTTAAGATTTTTCTAGACTGGATCAAATCAGCTTCTAAAACAGAGATAATTGGGGGTGGTGGGTGGGTGTTAAGTGGGTCCAGGGTTTCCCTAAAGACTTTAGTCTAGAGAATCAAAGGTTCCTGAGTCTGCACTCTGTAATATAAGAGGCAAAATTCTAAGCCCCTTTAAAACATGTAAACTAATATTCTAAGAGGACAATATGTCGATAATGGATCTGAATTCTAAGTCTTCAGCTAATTACTTCTACATTCCCATATAACTGCCTAGACCCGTTTTAGTTAGGACTGATCTACCTGGGAGGAAAGACGCCTTGGGGCTGATCTCACTGGAACATGGTAAGAGGAACACAGTGGCCTCTCTATCCCAGCACATTCCCATTTTTATGAATAAGTGAATCCATCTGTATCAGAAGCTCACACCAGATTATAAAAATAACAATTTCTAAAAATTCAGAGCATTTATGATCAAAGCACTAGAATTAAAAATGCAACAGGAAATCTTACCCATGTCTTTCATTCCTAGATGCAGTCACTGCTGTGGAAGCCAACATACAAAAGAGCAGGCGGCACATTTTCATCCTGACTCCTGAGATCATGCACAGCAAGGAGTTTGCCTATGAACAGGAGATCGCCTTGCACAGCGCCCTCATCCAGAATGACTCCAAGGTGATTCTCATTGAAATAGAGGCTCCCAGCGGGCCCAACAGGCTGCAGTTTGGAGAGCTCCAAGATTCCCTAAAGCATATTGTGAAAGTGCAGGGCACCATCAAGTGGAGGGAAGACCATGTGGCCAGCAAACAGTCCCTGAATTCCAAATTCTGGAAGCAAGTGAGGTACCACATGCCTGTGGCAAACAAACTTACTGGAAAAACTTCTGGTTTGGCTTCTCTGAGCACCCAGGGGCAGTAGCACTTGTTTGATGTGCTAATGAACCAAATTTGGTGGCTCCCAGCAACATCTGGGTGGATTGCTCCCCAGTACCAGATACTGGGAATTGAGATGTAAGACACAGGAATGTCAAGGGTATTCAGGCCTCAAGTTTCATTCAATAATTTCTCTTCCGTTTCCCTGATTCTGGGTGGATGCAGAATGCCTGTAATTTTTTATCCTGCATCCCCTTCTGTCCACCCCACATTTCCTTCCCTCTCTCCCTTGTTGATCGCTCTCTACTGGCCTGGGATCTTTTCACTATGCTCTTTCCCTTTCTTTCTTTCGCTTGTTCTTTCTCTCCTCTTTCTTCATCTGTATTCTACATTTTGAACATCAAACTAAAAATTTAAGGGTTAAATTTTCATGAAATCTTGAAGAACACTCAGATTCTCTCAAGTAAATCTTATTCCCAACATGTCACAATTTATTGTATTTGATTGGAATGGAGGCAAGTTTTATCATCTGGATATATCGCTGGTTGGAGTTCCTTATCCAACTGCCAGTACAATTGAAAATCTTTTTAGTTCTGAAATTTCTTTCATACATTTTTATTCTCTTGAGGAGTACATATTTCTCACTATAAAAGTTGTAGAAGAACAGAAAGTATGAAAGGAGAAAATAATAAAAATTCATAAATCCATCATCCTGAGCATTTTTAAATTCTAAGCATTTTGGTAAATTTGTATTTTTAAGAAATTTTAATTCATGCTTAAGCATACTGTTTATATAGCTAATATTACACAGTGTATAATTTTTATTTTTTCTGCTTAATATCATGATAAAAGCACTTGCTATGTCATTTAAGTTTTAATATTTAAAAATAGTCACGGTGTTCTAGTTCATGGTTGTGCTACAAATGACATGCTCAGCTAGTTATGGATGGATATTTAAGTTGTTTCCAACTTAGTCATCATTATAAATAATTCTGCAATGACCATATCAGTACATCTCCATTTTTTTTTTTAACTTGAGAAACTTTGTTGTAATATCTCTATGAAATTAGTAGGGCATTTTGACAGAACTGTTCTAGGAAAACTGAAGTTAGTTTGCATAGTCAAAGCCATGCCCATCAGTTTCGTGAAGGAGTTCATGGAGCTCTCATGGGCCACAGAGCCCAACAGTGGATCCCAGGCTAGGGCAGGGTGTCCCCTCAGCCTGGGAGTCCTGTCAGAGCACACATTTTGCAAGTGGATAGAGATTCTCCCCTCAGCTGAGCTGCTTGATAAAGTATATAATTTCATATTTAACTGCAAAAGAGAATTTCACTTCCATCAGACCTTTGACAGGGATCCCGTATTATCTTGAAATAACTGTCTTTCAACGAATACTTTACAGAATCTTGTCTGGAAAGTAATGGTATTTTTGGAAGTTTGCCTAAAGGGTCTGTAGTTACCCATCCATCCACACACCCTATAATCCCTGGCTTAAAGTTGCCAGATAAAATACAAGACATCAGTTAAGCTGAATCCATAGAATGAAATTTCATCTGAAACTGATCAGGAATTAAAATTTGACTGGGTATGTTGTATTTTTATTTGCTAAATCTGCTTATTACTCTGGTAGATTATTATGCTTTCATTTGGTGACATCTGATTTTACTGAATTACTAAACAATTAGCCAATGAAAAGGATGCAGTATAGCCGATTGGTGAACATCATCAAATTTGGAATCAACAAGTCATCCTCTGCTATCAACCAGCTATGTGACCATGAGCAAGTTACTTCTCTAAAACTTAGTTACCCTAGGAAAAAGGAGAATAATCATACCAAACTCTTCCTATTTCTGTGCTAATCAAGTGAAAAAGGAAGGAGAAGGAAAAGTCAATACAATGGCCTTAGTTCTATGCCACTTCACTGTTTCTTGTAATGTGGATGATACCCCATGTCCTCTCTCGACGAGGGCCTCTAAAGCACAAATTCCCTCTAGTCTCACTCTCAGGAATAGATGTGCTTTTATTCCTGCTTCCCCACCCACTTAGAATGACAGATGTGTTTTTAATTTATGACACAGGGAATTCTGAAACTGATTTTATTCCCCTTTTTATATTAGCTACTTGAAAGTGTGGACCCAAATTTGGGATCTCTGTACAGCAAGCAGCTTGCTATCATGGCAAGGCATAGAATAATCTCTTCTCTGGCTCCATAATAACTGAGTTTTCAATTTACTCTATATTTCTGATTTTGAAATATGTTTTGCCGTCTATATTATACGGTCCTTTGCAAGTATTTAACATTTATATTTTCTGAACGTGTGCTGAGTATTCTGGAGTGGGGTGGGGAGAGGAAGGGAGATACACAGGTGAGTAAGGTACACACACTCCTTACTTATAAGGGGCTAGAGTTCACTGGGGGTTCTTGGAAAGAAACACTTTCAAGAACCCACACAAGGCTGACCTTGGGGGAAATTCTGACATTATTAAACTCACTTCTCCAGCACCCTTCTACCCAAACTTAGACACTACCTACCAAGTTACCTGAGCTCTCTGGCCTCAGTTTCTGCAACTGAAAAATAGGAAGATGGAGAAGAGTGCTGTGGGCTCTCTCAGCTCCTAACAGCCTGTGGTTCCAAGCTGCACAATCACAGAGAGGTCAGGCATGGCCAGACCACCTGGCTTCTCATACCAGCAGCACCACTACCTGCTCTGTTTCTTCTTCTGAACAGTGAGAGTGATACATGCTTCACCACAGCACAGTGTGAATAAAATGAATTCAGCCAAAACTTGTTGGGTGTCTACCACAGGGTGGTGAAAATTCCTGTGAATTATAAAAACACGAAGTTATTTTTAGTTGAGTCAAATTCACCTACAGTACAATGTAAATATGAAAGAAATATTTCCATCATCCCAGAAATTTCCCTCCTGTCATTTCCCAAACAATCCCTCTTCTTCAGAGGCCAACAATGGTCTGATTCTATTTCCAAGGATTAGTGTGGTCAGATCCTAGAATTCACATTTAAAAAGTCAGACAGCATTGTGACTTGCTACTTCCAAACAACATAACATTTTTGTGATTCATCCATGTTTGGTGTGTGTCAGTAGTTGTTTCTTTGTGTTATTGAGTCATACTCCACCATTTGGCTGGACAACAGTCTGTTTAACCATTTCCCTGTTGATGGACATATGGATTATTTCCTGCTTTATAGCTATTATGGATACGGCCTCTGGTGAACATGTTTTTCTTTTGGTTCACTATCTAGGAATGGTCATAAGTATATATATATATATACATATATGTGTATATGTATATATATATATATGAACGTTTAAAGAAATTGACAAATTGTTTTTGCAAACTAACTGTACCACTTTACATTCCCTCCAGTTTTATATGAGATTTCTGTTGTTTCATCTCCTCCCAATGATTGGTATTGGCATTCTTTTTATTTTTTATTTTAATGGGTGTTAAATGAATCTCAGTGTGATTTTCATTTGCAGTTTCCTTATGATTTATGAAGTTGAGCTTTTTCCAAGCTCTATTTGATTATTTGTATGTCAGTCAGTGAAAGTAAAATCTTGCACATTTTTAGATTGTGTTGTTTCTCTTCATATTGTTGATGTGTAGAAATTACTTATGTATTCTGGATACAAGTTCCTTTTCAGATAGATACAAGATGAGAATTTTTCCAGGCTTACCTCTTCATTCTTATTTGATGTGTAGAAATTACTTATGTATTCTGGATACAAGTTCCTTTTCAGATAGATACAAGATGAGAATTTTTCCAGGCTTACCTCTTCATTCTTAAAAATTTTAAGACATTCAATTTATTAAATTTTCTTACATGATTAGTGTTATTTGTGTCATAGGCTTTTTTTTTTTGCCTACCCCAGGGTCATAGAGATATTCTCCTACATATTTTTATGAAATGTTTATTATTTAGCTTTTACATTTAGGTCAGTGGCCCACCATGAGTTAATATTTGTATATAAAATGGGGTAAGGGTCAGGGGTCTTTCTTTTTTTTCCGTAGAAATATTCAGTTGTTCCAGAAACATTTGTGAAAGATTTTTCTTTCCCCATTGAACTGATATAGTCAAAATCAATAGACTATATGTGTGGGTATTCTACCCTCCATTATTTTCCATTTATATGCTCATGCAAATACTACATTGTCAAGACTATTATCACCTTATTGTAAACCTTCAAGTAGGCATAAGTCCTCTTTGTTCTTTTTTCAAGATTGTTCTATTCCAGATCATTTGCATTTTCACATAAGTTTTATAAATAGTTTCTCAATTTCTTTGAAAATTCTTCCAGAGAATTAGATTGGGATGGTATGAAATATATAACCTATATATTTTATATACTTAGACTCCGTTACTTAGAGCCCAAAAATGTATAGACTCTATAAACTCTGTATTTTGTGGAGAAGACACCTCTTAACAATGAGTCTTCTAAGCCATAAACATGGCATATCCCTCCATTTATTTAGGACTTTAATTTCTCTCAGCAATATTTTGTAGTTTTCATAGTAGATATCTTGTACATCTTTCAAACGGTTTATACTTTGGTATTTGATTTTTTTAATGCTGTTGTAAATGGTATTTTTAATAAATTTCCATTACTCATATATAGAATTACACTGGATTTTTGTATATCGACCTTGTATTCCATGATCTTGCTAATTAACACTGTTTCCAGTATTTTTTGTAGATTGCAAAGGGTGATCTACAAAAAATTATATCCTCTGTCAAAACCAGTAGTTTCGTTTCTTCCTTTCCAATCTTTATGTTTTCTATTTTTATTTCTTTACTTATTAAGAATGATTGTCCTAGGTGAGAGCTGACACCCTTATCTTGCTCCCCATCTTAGGAAAAAGCAGTGTTTCACTATTAATTACGAAGTTACCCGTGGGTTTCTTATAGATGCCTTTTATCAGATTAAGAATGTTTCGTTCTATTTTGTTTTCTGAATGTTATTACTCAAGAGAGAATCTTCAGTTCTTGAATATGTTGAATTCAAAACGTTGAATTTTGTCATATACTTCTTTTATTGTATTGAATGAGATAATTGTATGAACTTTCTCTTTTATTGGGTGATGAATTATTTTGACTGGGTATAAAGAATGAAAATCATTCTCATTAAGCCCTTTTCCTGTCAGCCACGGATTTCAGGCTTCACTTTTGCTTGAAAGCCCCAACCACCGACCAGGCTAAAAATCTATCCTGAGTCCGACCGCACTAGAAAAGTTGAGAAACATATCTTTCTCTTTGGCCTCCTTTCCTCTCTAAACAATTGAAAACCTCATTTCAGCACCTCTGCGCCCTCTCTGTTACTCCCAAAGCGAAGTCCCCAGGCTAAGCCCAGGGTCACCTGACACTGCATGCTCCGGGCGGTGACCTCCCCCTGCTTCTGGTTCACGTCAGGTTGCCGTCCTGTGTCTTCGGGACTCTTCCTTGGCCTCTTTCCTGTCCCGCAGTCCCTTCCCTTTACGGGCAGGTGTCGCCCGTCTGCCTGGCGCAGGTCCCTGGCCTCCCCAGCTCCCTTCCTACCGCGCGCGGCCTGAAGGGTGCGTAGGAGAAGCACAGCGCACCACCTCCAGACCCTGCAGGTCGCCGGGCCACCGCCCACCGCCCCCCGTCCTCCGTCCCAGCCGAGAGCCCCCGGGAAGCGCGGTTGTCGCGGAGACCGCAGCTGTACTCGGGGCCGGGGCCCCTGCCCGGCTTCCCAGCTGCGTGCCGAGAACCCCGCGGTCACCCGCTGGGCGCCCGGGTGCAGGAGCGGCGCCGCCCTGGGCGCATCCCCCCACCCGGAGGACGCCCCCCCACCGAGAAGCACCTCCAGAGCGGGAGCAATCCCGCGAAGGAACATCCCAGGCTGCACGCGGCAGGAGCAGCGCCCCTCTTGGAGCAGCGCCCCTCTTGGAGCAGCCCGGGCTGGAGCACCCCCGCAGAGGAACACCCTCGGGCCCGGGGTAGCGTCCCACCTGGAGCCTAGCCGAGTGTCGGGGCCAGCGGCTGCCAGATGCTTTTCTGTCTTACTTTCTGTTCCTTTTTGTTTTTTTCAGCTTTTTCTAGTTGCCTAATCTTAATCACACTTGCGGCTTCCCTCTGCGCTGTCTTGTTTCACAGTGTTAGGGAGGCAGCAGCTCGCTGTTTCTCACCTGCCTTCTGAACCGCCCAGGCCATCCCGTCGCCACCAGTGTGAACGAGGGGCCGCTGCCCCGCCCCAGCCCAGGGACACCCCTTTGTGCAGGTAAGGACGGGTTCCCGTGCCACCTGCACCCCTCCCCGCTACCCTCTGCCGCCAGCCTGGGGACACAGGGCAACCCAGCCTTGGAGACAGATTCTGAACGCAAAAGCAATTAACTGTGTACGCCATTATGCTTACAGATCCTCCTTCACTTGGGATGGGGTTACAACCCGATAAACCCATGTGAATTGAAAATATCCCAAGTTGAAAATGTATTTAATACATCTAACCTTCTGAAAATTAGAGTTTAGCCTAGTCTAAATCATGCTCAAAGCACTTCCATTGGCCTACAGTTAGGCAAAATCATTCAACACATGCCAATTTTATAATAAAATGTTGAATATCTCATGTAATTTATTGAATACTGTACTGAAAAGGAAAAACCGAATGGTTATCTGGGTAGAGAAAGGTTGTCAGCGTATGAGTTATTGACCTCTCTGTGGCTGACTGCAGCTTGCTGTCCTGCCCCGCATTGCAACAGGGTGTCACATGCCTGTCACTAGCCTGGGAAAAGATCAAATTCAAAACCCAAAATACAGTTTCTCCTAAAAGGAGAGTGCGTCCACACCATCATAAAGCTGAAAAATCGTAAGTCCAACCATTATAAATCGGGGACTGTCTATATGTATCTGTGTATATGTAATTTTACATTTTTAGTATGTATGTGTGTGTGTGTGTGGACACCCACACGTAAATAACTGGTGAGACAGTATCATCAGCTTACCCTGATACTACAGTTTTAGAGGTTAAAACATTCTCAGTTTTTTTCCTGGAAAAGTGAGAATAGCTAAAGTAAGTGATATTTTCCATTTATTAAGCACTTACTTTCTATCTGGCACTGTGTAGAAACTTTTAGATTAATTATTTTCACCCAACCCTACAGGTCAAATGAAGTAGGCACTGCATGCTTAATAAAAGGAAGAGAACCAAAGTACAGAGAGGTTTAGTAATTTATCTAAAGGCAGTCAGCTACTCAGTGGTAGATCCCAGATTCACACCTAAATGTTCTTGAGAATAAAACCATTGTCTTTAATCTGCAATCCTTACAGGAGTTAGAATCCCCAGCCAGTCACATGGACGTTATCAGGACAAGCACAGTCAGATATAGACACCTGAGATTATTGCATTCATCTCACCCTTTCCCTTGGTGCATTCTTGGGACCTCAGCACACACCCATGTAATGCTACGTGGTACTATGCACTTCTCAATCCAAGGGCCTTGGATGGGCTGGGAGGGTGTAAGTTTGGAGGAACTGGGTTTGTGCATGTTTTGAGGCAACTGTGACCCTCACCTTCCAGCACAAATACACACACAGAGGCTAAGAACACCTGGTCTGGGAACACAGTGGAAGGGAAGGTGCCTTCCTCAGGGAACTCACCAGTGAGTGGGAATGAATCTAGGAGTAACAGGACACCTTGGGGCTGGACTGCCCGGAGGCTGTTTGGGGCAGCAGCAACTGGAGAGCTTCCTTGAGGAGGCAACCGTCTGCCAAGTTGCAAGGACTGGAGGAACATGGCAGCTGGAAGAAGTCGGGAGGATGCTGGGGGAAAGCATAAGGATGGGGACAGGCATTTGTGGGGCAAGGACTGTGAGATGGGATTGGTTCTTCTGGTTTTGCAGATGAGAACAAATTATTTTGTCCTTAGAGCAGAAGTGTGTGTGCATATTATGTCCCAGATCACTTTCCTTTCTTTGCATTTGGTGGATTTATCATCTCAAATGCTGAGGAAAACATGATGCGTTCAACACTGTAGAGAAAGAATTGTGTTCGAGAAATCACTAGTGTTACTGTTTTCACAAGGCAGCTTACCTTAGGAGGCACTTATTTACATGTCTGCTAGTACCAGTGATTACACTGAGGCATAGACACCTATGTATGTGAGTCAGTGGAATTTCCTACAGTCTGGACTTGACCAGTTTTCCAGGTTGAGGTTCAGGTTCCTTCTCAGAAAGAACTTTGAAGGGCCTAACAGCTGTGGGTTTTAGTGAATTATTTTTTCCAGAGAAGGGTCAATTTGCTCAGAGTGGGGTCTGTCAACAGGGCAGTTGAGCAGAATCAAGGGCTCAGGAGATGACCATTCACACACTCTGGAGGGCCTTGGGCTGCATTTCCTGGTGGGTGGGGGGCAGAGGGGATGGTTAGCTTGTATCTTGCCCTCACCCTAGTCACACAAGATTTGGAAGAGAGCCTTTTTAATTTAGAGAAAACTTCATGTCATTGGGTGATTTAGGGGGGAAGTTTGTGAGTCTTCTTGTGTGTGTGTGTGTGTGTACATGCATATGTATGCACAGATATTTAATTCAGCTTAAATATTAAACATTATTATTAAACATATATTTAGGATATATTAAATTTACTTCTTAAATATTATTATTATTAAGTATATGTATATAAGGTTTATAAAATTTACTTTTAAGTATACAAAACGTCCT